TTAAAAAGCTCTGTGCATGACATCTATTCCGACAATACTATGTTAGAAATCAGGCCTTGGAGTGGGATAAAGTTGCCTCTAGAATTGGTTTGTTATCTCAGAAATGTAGTTTGGAGTCCAGAAAGGATTCTTATATCCCTTGAAATATTTATCTGTGACCCTTTCCGTATGAAGTTTGGGAAGTTTAAACAAGCATTACTAAGTCAAGCATTTTCTATTCTGACTGACCAAGAAAGAGCTCATATTCAAATTGCCATGGCCTCTAGAGGATCAAGAGGGATTTTTTTGTTTGTTTAAAACAGACATAGTTATCAGAAGGCCTAAAAATATATACAGAGAAATATATGTTAACAGCCAAATTCATACGTGAGAAACAAAGATGTGGTTTCAAGCTTGTTTCTTCTTACAGGTTGGAGCCATATGACAAGACAATCCTCTGAAAGGGAGCAACTGGCTTTAATTTTAAAAACAAAGCCCAACATCTTATTTCTATATATCAATCACCTGGTGCCTAACATTACTAGGGATGACCTGAACATAAGTGCATCTGTTTTGAGAATTCTGTAGTGATCTTTTAGTAATTTCATTTCAGGCACACAATTCTCGTGGTGTAGGGACCTGACTCTCACTCTGCTCTAAAACTACTTCCTGCAAAAAATAAAAGTGTACCCTCATTGCCACGAGCAGATGACCATCTTTCTAGCTGTTTCAAGTGTTCAAGAGATACTTGAGGGTGTTTGTTTTTTAAAGAAAATGATAGGGCAGTATAGAAGTTGAAATCGGTGAATAACCCAGGTTCTTCCCATGTCTGACACCTACGTTTGCTCCCCGTCTCCTCTTTAGTTATTGCTTGTCGTAAATGAGGCTACCACGTAGTGGCCAGCCCTCCAGTTGGACGGCTTCTGTCCTGTAGATCAGCACTTCCCAAGATAGTCTTTGCAGATTGCTGATGCAGCACACCACAAATAGACCATCCCATCCTTAATCAACACCAAGAGCAGTTTCACAAGGAGGGAAATCATTCAAACATCACTGAAAATGCTTCAAACGTTAAGGCAAAGCAAAATGTTAAAGGAACAGTTTGGGCATATTTAACTGTACAAGATACTCAACATCTTTTTTTTTTTCTAAATTAAAATGAATCTTTAACCACCTATCTAGGAAGACAACTCCTAATGAATTCCACCTCTCTTAGATAAGTTAAAGGATTAGACTTCCAGAACAGTGAGCAGGCACATGTCTTTTCCTGTTACTCTTCTCCTAAACATGTAAATATTCTTTCTTGAGCAGGGTGATAACATTATGCTATTGCATATGCTCACCTTTCATCAACAGATTCAAATCTGCCTCCAGTGCCATTCTATACTATTAACTGACTGATCCTGCAGCACTTAAAAGGAAGGAGTTCACTGGTGTCAGTGGGGATTTAAAGTGCCTTGATTTGATTGTGTTGTCTTTCAGCATTGATTTAATAATATAAAAGGAGTTGCTACCTTCTTGGCAACAGTAAAGCTGTGAGAATTCTCTCAGAAGTTTTCAAAGCACCTATGGTGGTTTTTGTTAATTTGGCCACTAAATGCTTCTGCCTTTTGTTAAATTTAAGCTTGCAGATCTTACCTATTTAGACACTTAGTGTTCCAATTTTCAGTACGTATACAAAATATGCTACAAAGCTACATACCACCCAGATCAAGAACCTGACAAGTCAGCTAATACTCCTGTAATTTAGAAGGTCAGATGAAAATACTCTCCAAACCTTGAAGGGCATGCTTAAGCAACTCCAAAGCCTAAGAACTAAATATTTGTCAAATGATGCCTGTGTACAAATCCGTAACTTCTGTGGGAGCAAGGCAGTCTTGTTTACAAGCCAAAACTGTCATATTTTGTTAGTTATAAATATGCTCTGGAGCAATAAAACAAAGTGTACCTTGTTACCATTGTAATGTGTGACACTTCTCCTTTTTAATAGGATTTGCAGCAATTAATTCCCTTTAAGGATGTACAAAAATCTAGTCTCTAGAATGAACTATATTCATTAAGCAAGAAAAGTTATACTGGAATAAAATGTAAGTCCTGAGTTTTTTCAACAGCTTCTCAGGAGAAGGCTGTTACTAAAGAGTAGCTGTAATCATTGATAATCAGCACTCTGAATACTCAAGGACTAATCAATCTCCTAATACAGAAGCTATTTTGGGACAAAATATGATCAATTCCAGCAGTCCTAGTGCAACATTTAAGTGGATGGCCTAATTAATACAGAATTAATTAACACAGAAGAAATCTTTTTCTCTGACAAAAACAAAGTCTGAACAGCATGCATGTCTCATCCAGAAAGTCTACATTTCAGCTTTCAGTTATGGCCAAGTGATCAATAAACCATTATCTTGTCTGGGAAAAAACCCTTTGTCAACAGTCTACTATTTTAAATGGACATGTTCTTAAAAGCCTCAATTATTTGTTAAACACTAGCTTGAACAATTTGAAACACTGGTCATTGCCATGTTTTCATTAACTGCTGCAATTTAAGACAAGTGCAAAGAGGTATGAACAATACAGACATTCCATCCAAATTCAGAACAAAACGAGTCACTATTTAGTTATGTAAGCAAATGGCCAAATTATCCAGACACAATGCTACCTTTTTAGCATTTTAAAAATGTGTTTCTAGTGTATAATCAAACAATTTAGGATAGTTTAGAAAAAAAAAAAAAAACGAGCACTGAAACAGGATGCCCAGGTTGGTTGTGGAATCTCCTTCCTTGGAGAAGCTCCGGAGCTGTCCTGCCTCTATCCTGGACACTTGGCTCCAGTTGACCCTGGCCGAGAGCTCCAGAGCTCCCTTCCAACCTCAACCATGATTTGCTAAGAGACCTTCATCTCAGAACTTGCCTAGCTCTAAGGCTAGCTCAGCATCAAAGGTTTCTTCTCAAGTCAATAAAGATTGAGTGCTATTAAACCAATTATTCTCTCACTGGAAAGCAGATTTAAAAATCACTCATACCCCCTGCTAGTAGACAATGATAATTTAAAGACAGAGTTTGTAATTCCCAATTCTGCTAAACTGCATGAAAAATATTTCCGATACCAGACTTTACTTCTCTTACTATAATACTTCCAAGTTCAAGAAAATCTCCAGATATTTTACTAACAAACTATTAACACACTATTTTCTATAACATCATTAAGACACTAATGGACCTAGTTTTTGGGTGCAGAATAGTCTTCTCAAGCAGTGCTAAAACCAATGGCTTGCTGGAGAAAAACACAACAGAATGCAGCAACTGAAGATAAGTGGCCACAAGGTCTTAGTAGTGGTAGAGAATCAACTGCAACGACAGAATCTATTTAGAAACTTCCCAACAAAACGAAGCAACTTGGAAGTTACAAAGGAGCGAGACCTGCAGTGATGACACAGGATTATGAAGTGATCATGGTATGATCTGGTGCTGCCAAGTGCACACAAATCACCACTCCAAAATAATCTTTCATCATGTAGAAAGAAATTCTGCTTTACAACACAAGTGTCTCAAGTGTACAATACCTGAGATCTCCTTTAAGCTGGAATCAGAAATGTTTGAAACCTAGTTTAGTAAGTAGATGACCATGTATGACCAAGCTCATTTGGTTTATTAAGTATAATTCTATAATTTTTTGTAAGAGTACCAGAATTTTCTGTTCATAATTTATTTGAATAGGCTGAACAAAAGGCTGAACATTGAACAGAAACCTGTCTGTATTATGAGATGCTTTTTGTTTTCAGAGGAGCTTCAAACAACTTTTGTTTGATGAAGATATACTTCTTAGGCATTCTGTACCTATGAAGCCTGTACAACTGTGGCAAAGAAAGGGCATATTTGACTATGTAGCTGTAAGTAAAGGGAATAATGAGAAATACAGCCACCAAATTCCAATTAAAATGTGCTGATCTATTCAAAATCTCTCACCATAATGGTTTAACTGTTTTTCTCCAGAATAGCTCTACAAGAATTTTGAATAATACAAACTAGGCTGAAGTAGAAAGTCTTTCATTCTTTGACACTTCCTTTAGAAAAAAAATACTTAAGATGAAAGCCAAGGCACACAGAATAAGCATCAACAACACGAGTTCATTTTGATACTAAAGCGAGAGAGTATTTTTTAGTATATAATTGAGATTAGTAAACTCTTTTTTTGAAAGGATGAAATTCCTCACTACTGCTGGTAGGAAAAAATAAATAAATAAAACAGCATAGTAGGGCATGGCCAATCTGTAGTTTAATTGAAAGCATACTAAAAGCAGGACAATATAAACTAAAAGCTGATTTGCTAAAAGAGCTTCTCACAGATGAAAAAGCCCAGGAGTCAACAGATAATGATCTACATTACCATACGACTTCTGTTTAGTTCCTATTTGTAATTTTTCACCCAAACAAGGAAAGACTGGGCGCAGCACAGATGAATACTTGCTGATGAACACAGAGCTCACACACTGCACTAACAGTAGCTTCTTTCAGATGTGAGCTAAAGAATGAATTTCAGCTTGCTTCTTGGCAAAGTTACTGACAGAGGCAAGACCTAATAATAGTCAAGGGAAAAAAAGAAAAAAAGAAAAAAGAAAAAAAAAAGGAAAAAAGGGGATCTTCAGGAGTTTATCCATGGGTGTGGAATGGAAGGAAGGAATAACTGCATTATTTCACTGTTTTTACATTATTTATATTTTAAACATTGGTCTCATAAATATAACATGAACACTTTACACATGCCAAGCAGTTCAAAGCTTTCCCCCAAACGTTTTAAACCTTACCAGAATTATTGACAGTATCTGTTTTCAGTCAGTAACCACTTAACTTAGTCAGAACTACAGCTAGGTTATCTTCTAGCAACATCTTAATATTGAAAAAAGCTTGTAGAAACAGAAGGATGCCTGTAAGCAGATCAGTTTGCCTTAAAGTGATTAGTCAGCATGTGAAAAAGATTGTCCATGGTTTAAAAGCTGTTGCTTTTCTGTTTAAAAGCTGTTGTGTTCCCCCTGCCCCACATAATATCTTTAAATAAAAAGTGCAAATGGGATTTGGGGACTGGATGGACTGATTTGCTCATCATGTCTTCAGTTGCTTATTTCGTAGCCACCGCAAGCCAACTGTCCCATTATACTTTGGATTAGCTACAGTTACATTTAAAATAAGGCTCACTGAAGAAAAGGAAGAAATGCCATCCGACTGACTCAAATTTCAACAGATTCCTCCCACCCCCAAGTCCGACAAAAGTGCTCATATCCCTTTTTACAAAAAACATAGAATCTTGATTACAAAACTATTAAACATTTCATTTCTACCATCCATATAGTCACCTTCCTTTCAAGCAAGGCCAAAAAAGTGATGATGGATTCCCTTTGAATACAAGAGATACTACTACACATTTTGTAAGTAAACAGGCTGACATTATGATTGCAGTCTCTTCTGCGAGCATACAGATGTCAGATGAACTGGTCCTCTTTTGTGGGACCTTGGGTGTAAGAACACCAGCAGATAAAGATCTAAGACTGATAATATAAACCCAACATGAACTATTAACTTCCAAGACCACCTACTGTATAAACAAGTCTGATTTTCTAAGGAATCAGTCAACAGCAGCTGCGTTTTGTCACCGATGGCTGTCTTCTAAGCTTGAAGCCCTTACCACTAAGTGGGGGGTTGGTGTCAGTTGATGGAATTCTACGACCTGCAAGGAGGTAAAAAAAAACATTTACAGAATGCATTATGCATGGGAAATTTAGGCATTCAATATCTGTTTTGCATGCAAAAATTTGTATTTGATAAATCAAGTCATTAACGACATTCCTGCGTAATAAAATAGCTGCTAACAGTCTGTACTATGTCTTTAATAGGGACGTTTCCAAGGGAGCTTTCAAGGGAGCCACAGAAGCCCCCAGGAAACAGACTCCACAGGATGCTATACCACCTAGAATCTCTCCAGAGTTGTAATCTCATTCAGTATTTTCACAGCATACCCCCTTCATGAGGCTTGGTACAAACCTGTAAGGAGGGCTGCTTTGGTTTTCTGATCAGTCTCAAGTTGACTGTTCCTTTCAGAAAAGGATATAAGGCTTTAAGGGATTTTTTTTTCAGTTGAATCAGAATCAGTTTTAGAGTTGTTTAGAGCAACTGTTAAATCCATATATTAAGAAGCTAATCTACAGCATATACTTTTTACATCAGCTTCAACAAATTCAGCTGTTCACAAGGAGCCTATTTTTCCTTTCAGTCAAACATTTGCAGAGCTATTTGAAGTTAAACAGATGCAGTGCATATGTATATACATACACACATGGGTTACTGTTTTTCTTGTTTTTAGAATCATGTTGACATATCTACATACTGGTACTGCTGCCTACAATATACCCTACAAATAATATTGTCTGGAATTTACTTTGGAATACTGCCTGCTTTTGATTCATTCAAAACAAGATTTTTTTCCCTCAGCCCTATGAATGAGGCAGAAAAGATTTGTGATTTACTTGAAAAACAAGGGAAATAAAGATGACAACGCAAAATCTAGTGGGGAAAAAAAAAACACAAACAAAAAAAATAAAACAAACCGACATTTCCCAGAGAATAACCTTGCACTTTTTTGAGTTATGCTCTCAGAAAATGCCTTTTCTAAACCAAGTACAAACACTGAGAGTGAGAAATAAATTCTTTTTCTCAAATGTATAAGGTTGAATCTTCCCCAGTTTCCTTTCCTTACCCTTCTGTAACCTTGAAAGTACTAATTGAAACAGTCAATAACAGATATAGTAAGATGACACTGGCTTCACCATCAGTGCCCTTCTTGCTATTTATCTAGTGGCAACACAGGGAGCTTAAAATTCCTTAAAGAAACCTTTAGAGGTCATAAGATGAGGAAGAAAAAAGAGTGTCCATTTTACAATTTTGAATTCAAAACTGCTTATGATATTCTTTAAAACTGCTTATAATATTATAGTAATTATAAGCATAATTGCTTATAGTAATATTCTTTTGTGCCTAAATAGCACAAAAAGCATAGTAAAAATACTCCTGCTCGAAATTCTTTCAGTAGAAAACATGTAGAAAACATCCACTGCTTGAATACTTACTAATTTCTATAAAGAGTTCATTAATGTTTATTGCATTTTTCGCACTTGTCTCTACAAATATTGCATGGATAGAATCTGCATAGTCTTTAGCATCTTTTTCCATGACTTCTCTGAGAAAACATAAAGAAGAAAACATAAATACAGAAAGAAACATTATCCAAGTTTTAAGTGATAACTAGCCTTAAGTGGTTCATTAAATGACAATTCTGTATTACCTGTTTGGCTTCACACTGCCCTCTCATCCTTAGGTTGATGCTTATCCTTTATTCTATGACATTACTGCTGGGCTGTCCCCCCACCCTCAGGAAGGGGCATCATTGAAACACAATCATAACAAACTAAACAAGGCCTTAATCCATCTGAAAACATTACAGCAAAGTTTGCTTCTTGAGAGCTCATGTCTGCAATCAGTTATTTGCGAGTTGCTTTATTCCTCATATACACAAGTAGTGAGTTAAATCTGGTGAAAGACACTCACGACTTGCTTCCATTTTTAATCTAATACTGTGAGTTTCCTAAAGTTACTTCCAAAATCAACTATCTTGCAATTTAACAGATTAATATCATTTACTTTGCAGCAGTATGAAAGTATAAACATATTCAACCTGCACATACAACAGAGACATGAAATAAAAAATATATATATATATATTTGGCCCCTCCAGATAGGCAAGTTGATAACGCTTGGCACATTTCCTTAAAAAACAAGAAAAAGAAGAGAGGCCAACAGGTTAGAACAGTGAAGTATACTCTATATCACGTTATAGGCAATTTCTAGACTGTATATGCCGCTTTCAGTAACAAGGGACTTAAGTTATCAAGAAGTGCAAAGGCAGAGTCTTTGGATCAGTGACAAATATGCCTCTGATTGAAGAGCAAGGAACTAATATTGCATATCTTAGATTTGTCTTCCAAGTAATTTTATAGTAATTCAGTTTTTGACAAATACTTGTTCCTTCTGACATCTAAACACGTTTAGCACTATAAGCTTATTCCCTTAAGTGAAACTTGCATTGAACTGTCAGTAATTCCTTACCTTACGTCATTAAGATCGCACTTATTTCCTGCAATAGCTACAACAATGTTTGGAGGTCCATGTTGTCGAAGTTCTTTCACCCAGTTCTTTAACGTTGAGAAAGTTTCCTGGTAAGGCAAAAAGCAGAAGGAGTAAGGCCTGGTCCAGCAGACACGTAAATCACAATGTTTATAGCTGGGTCAAAACCCGTTTTTGTACCTCTTTCGTGATGTCATAAACTATAATGGCTGCAGCTGATCCTCTGTAGTACATTGGGGCTAAAGCACGGAACTGGAAGAAAGAAACTGTGTATTAGGATTCTGCCCTTTCACTGACTTCCATGATTTACTTATTAATATTAAATGAAACTAGCTTTAATATTCACATTAGTGGAAGGCATATTTTACACTTACAGACAGGCTATGCAGTAGGGTATGCAAACTTCCAGGAAAATACTGCTTTTCAAAGGCAAATCACTTTTTGTTTTGGGACAAAGAGAAACATAAAACTAGCATATATTACCACTTATCTGAAATGTCCACAGGTCATTGTCAAACTATAGCCCTCCTGAAAAATGGATAAGTGATGCTAATTTAGAATTTATATGTTAGGTATGCTGGCTTAATTTTAATCTAACTATCAGTTTTAGGAATTTTGAGTTTTTCTCCAAACTCAAGAATTAGAATCATGCTCAAAGCTAAAAACTGCAAAACCTACACTCATGTGACCTGCTGCAATTAAAGCTTTAAGGAACACTTTGGGTATTCAAAGACTTAAAGTTATTGCAATCTTCAGATTTGAATCTACAGCAGGTATATTTGGTTAGTAGCAAGCATCCAGTGTACGAAGCAGGCATCTATCTTTGCATGAATCCAGGAAAACTAAAAACCAGAATTATTAATCAAACGTTCTTAGAAATTCAGTGTGATGTTCTCGTAATTTAAAAAGGACCAGACAACTAATGTAGCAATCAGAAATGTCAGTGGAGGCACAAAGCAAGTTGCATGTGCTTTTTTGATGTAAGCATACGTTTCAGACCTTTCATGCATCTTACTACTCAGGTTAAAATTCATGAATAGAACTTACTTTTTCGTAAAAACTTATTTGGTTCTAATAAAACACCCATTTCCTTTTGCCTAATACAGTTCAGCTGAAAGCAATATTATAAATCCTAAAAATCTTACTATAAAGCAGAATTCCAGACCTTTTACACTTGGCTCTCAAATTCTGTTTTGAGAACAGGATTTTGAACACTAAGTTCAGAACATAAAAGATATATAATAGGGGGAAAGGGAAACACAGGCTTGCATTCAGTTCATGTTGGGGTGTAATCCCTGTTCTCCCCATAAGTACTAAAACATAAAGGAAAACATATTTGAAAAACCACCACTTGGATTGGTTGCAATCTGGCTTTTTGATTATTTGACTATTTGCATTGAGAAAAAAATAAAAAAACAATTTCCACTTGATGATTTTGTATTACTCTCATTTCTTGCCTGCTAACACTTAGATACTTTTTTCCATCTAAGAATAGCCAGCAGATAAAATACATTAACAAAACAGATGTTCCAAGAAACAGTGAATTTTCCTTTTTGCTGTCTTCTGCCCTCCAGCCTTTGATTTGCATTTCAACAGGTTTTTAACAAGCTGTACTACAATTATTCTGACATATTCTCTCAATTGTTAGGTAAGAAGGTCAAAAATCCGAATCACTAAAAATGATTTTCACTGACCTTTAGTCAGTGAAAAAGAAATGAAGAACCATTAAGGCAGGTGTATATGGAGAATACCATATTCATGTGAATTGGTGCATTCCATCTTCAGAGTAAAGCCAGACAGACATTTCTAAAGCTGTTTCAAATAACAGAAGATTGCCCAGTATAACATAGCACTATTTGCTGATGGGCTTTTTAAGTGTGAAATAGCAAAAGCTACTCAAAATAATACTAGAATTGGAAGCTTCATTCACTACCTATCACAGCTCTGCAGAGAAATTTTAGTGCTGAGAAAAATGTGAGTATTTTTGGTACTCCAAATCACCACAGATGCAATAAATGCAACAACTGATTTCGGAAAGGGTTCCGAATCCAGAATACTTTGCCACATATTTCAGCACAAGGCAGGTACAGAGATCAACTGTGACTAGTGCTAAGTGATGGGCAAGTGCTGACTGACTGCTGGTAACGGATGGATTGTGACACTTGTGACAACTTGCATGCTACAGGACACATCACTGACAACTGGCTTTATACGGTGCTGCTGACAGGAAACGCATCATGCAAAATCCTCAGCTCTAAAAACGCAATATAGATATATTCAAGTGACACTAGAGCCATAAATGCTGTTATCAAGCTATGAAGCTAGTAAGTCCATGACTCTGAAAGGTCAAGTGACTGAACAGGCATAGTTTTTAAAAGATGTTTTCTTAAGCTTGTGCTCTTCAACAGTAAGAGAGGCATATTATTTCTCCAAGTAGTCCTGAAAATAGCACACCTCTGCTCGCCCGTTGGTGCCCTAAAGTAACCACCCAACACGATTCAATTGACTTTTCACAAGCACAGCTCAGGCATCTGTTCTTGTCACAGTTTACCCACATTCTGAATAAAGTTACCACGAGTAAGCAAGAGTTGCCAGTAACTAAGAACCTGAACTGCAAGAATACAACAAGCAGTTGATAAAATCCTTAGTTTCCTTCAGTGTTGCTAGCAGCCATAAGCAAGAAAATTAGCAAGAGAAACTTTCCTTTTAAATTTTAGTTTAAAATCATGAGACTAATTAAGCTTTTGTTGTCTCCCCTTAGAACTGTGTATATTGCAGAGCTCAAAGTCCAGGTACAGGAAAAAAAAAAGACTATTATTCAAAATAGATTTCTTGATATAGCTTCTAGCATCATTAGATAAATCATAACTAAAATGATTTCACAGAGTAATTGAGTCAACTTACCCTCTCCTGTCCAGCTGTATCCCAAATTAGGAATTTATGCAACTCATTTTGATACTGTACAGTTTTGGTCATAAATGAGGCTCTGGAAAAAAATATAAATGTGTTGTTAGAGTATTGTTATCATAAACTTTTAATAAGGTTTATTTTTTAAAAAAAGTGAAATGCTTTCCTACAAATAAAATCAAGATTGTGATAAGCAGAAACAGAAATTAATATGAGGCAAAGGGCCCTATCTGGAGGCTGAAATTAAACTATGAGATAAGAAGGTTCAAAAATGCAAATTCAGTATTTATTCTTCTTTAGCTTTTGATGAAAATAAAGATTGTATGTTCACAAAATAACAGGTGGCTAGTCATCTTCACACCTTTCTTCCTAAATGGAAGAATAACCACAGCAATTCATCTAAATGTAAACAGGAAACATTTTGAAGGAAAGATCACATAAAAAAAGCCTTTTCCCTTCTATCAACTTTTTCTAAATCTCTGTACTCGCATTTAGAGAAACACTGTTAATTTCACTTTGGGGGAGTAAAGAAAGGAAGATTCCTATTTATTTTTTAGGTGTTAAGAGGTCACAAAAATCAACAATCAACAACATGTTTGTTGTGTCTGCTCTGTACAGGTCTCGCCTGCCATTACACAGTGAACTGCAGGGACTCCTGCATTTCCAGGAGACAAACCAAAATTGAAATTCTATTCCTAGGCTCCAGTCTGCTCCTCCTCTCCCAGATTTCAGGAGCACAAAACAACTATCTGTATTTAAAATAAGGGGAGTCCTACAGGATATCTTGCAATTCAGTAGCAGCATGTATACCACAAGGTTTTTTTTTGTTTTTTTTTAAAAAGAGGGGCAGAAAGAGGGAGAGAGGCAGACATGTCAAGCATGTCAAGAACATCACATTTTTAAGAGGAAAGGATGAGACACCACTGATCTTTATCAGCAGGATTTCTTCAGTGAAAAAGCACCTGAGACAGGAAGTTACTTTGATACCAAGCTCTCAAGATGACATGAAGCCTTGCTCTCCCATGAGTAAAGAACTGCCTCTTTCTGTGCAAAGCAACCTGCAGCAAACAAGGACAGCAAAGGACTGTTCCTTGCCCATTCAATACATTTTAAAATTGAAAATTGCCCCTTTGAGACACATCCTTCACATATCCTTAGATATGAGCATAATTGCATTAACAATTTCATTAGTTACTCAACAGAATGTATATTACCTATAGATGTTAAAACTAATCAAGAGAACCACAAACTAAATTAGCATATTAGCCACCTTTGAAAACCAAGATTTCTTACTCCTTCCTTTTGAATTTGAATATAAGAAGGATAGCAATCTCACAACAAATACACTCTGAAACTAAATAGCGCATAAAAAAAGCACAGTTCCCTTAACAGAAATAGAATTTATTCATAACCCTGGAGTCCTAATAGGATTTTGTTGGATAAAATTAGCAAGATAAAATGGGTCAAGATCTTACACATGAAAATGGAAGCTGCAGAAGCACAGAATATACTCCTAGGTTTCCTACGGTTTCTCACATGCTAAGACCACAGTGTCTTCATTGCCACATTTTGCACTCACACACTGAGAAAGCTCATGTGTTCTTATCAGTAGGCGCAGATGTACGTTCATATAATTTGGACTGAGTAATTACAATAATTCAAATTTACTTTAGTCTGTTTCTTACCCTATTGTTGGATTGATGTTGGGATCAAAGCTGTCTTCTACAAATCTCCACACAATGCTTGACTTGCCCACACCAGTGTCCTGAGAAAGAACAGTAACAGTTGAAAGAGATGATAGTTACTATAAGCTACTAATAAAAATTCTTTTTGTCATCAAATCTTCTGTTATGCTCCACACAGGTAACATGTTCCTGTAGATAATCCCCAAGAAATCAGAAATATCTCATTAAATTTAGATGAATATGGAAGGAGAAAAAAAAAAGTCTGAGAAATTAAACCAAATGGTTGTAAAGAAGGTTTAAAAAGATTGTGCTCATACAACGTCACATGAATTTATTCCAGTGCTTTTTTTGCAAAGCTCCAAAGTGTATCTGAACAAAAGCTGTTTCAACAGGGAAAGACCTTCTAGCACGCTCAGTAAAATAAACAGTAACTGAAGATGGTACATCATTCCTGCAAGCCAATTGACTGTCTAAAATTGTGCAAGCATGACACGCTCATTTCAAATTCTGACTAATGCTGTCCCACCCTGCTTAATGAAAGGCCTGAAGTTTCTTCTCTGACACACCTGAAGGATGCGTCAAACACGACTCTATGGGGGAACAAATGGCAGAGGAAAAAATGGAGCGTAAAAACTAAGATTTCTATCAGTTCAAGAGAAATCTAATGCCAAGTCATATACATATATGTACCACCAACTTGGGGGTAAAAAAGTAAATGCAAGAGAGAGGAGGCAAACTTAAGAGTGAAATACCATATACCATCAGCACCGAAAAAATTCCTCATAGCACCTAGACTTTTTAAATGGCAATTTAGTTAACATATTTGAAGATCAACTTTTCACTTGGTGTCTCCAGATTTATTAACAGTTTTAAAGAAAAATAATTGCCAAATGCTTCACTGGATGTAAAGTTCTGTTTCGTTTCATGTGTTGCCCTGCCCCTTTTGAAAGGTGAGCGCCACAACAAGTGCAGGGACAGCAGTGTTTACCTTTTCAAGTTATTTCCCTCTCAAGAAAAAGCTACACAGAAACGCATTATCTCGATTCTGTGATTTACAGTTTCCAGCTCCCAATAACAGCACGAGCCTTATGGAAAGAAATGCAGATGCAGCTCCTGGGTCTGGAGCTCAAGGACCAGCATTTCGAGGTGCTGCTTCTCCCTGTCCGGCATCACTGGCGGCTCCGCATGGAGGGCGAGCGCAGGGTAAACAGCACCTATCCCAAATACTTCCTCACCATTAGGAAACACAGAAACCTGTCATTTACCCCCCCAAAGGGCAGCGTGTCCATTAGGGACAGGAACAACCCTGCTTGTCATGCTCTAAAAAATGCAGGATTTAGATATAGACAGGGAGGGAAAAAAAAAAAAAAAAAGCCAGACCAATTAAAAGAGAGGTTCTCCAAAGTTATCAGCACAAATCAAGCCAGAGCACATTTTTGCTCTCTGGATTTTTTAAACCACTCTAGTTTGCTCGAAGCGTCCTTTTCTTTCCCACTACCCACTGTCCCCAGAGCATTTTTAGAGCCTAAAAATTAAAAAAAATAACCCGCTGTTAAAGCCTCTGAAATCAAATCGGGTGGGGCAAAAGGGGTGCCCAGCGCACTGGGGATCCCGGCGCCTCAGGCAGGGCGCAGGGAAGCGCCCAGGGGCGCCCCAGGTCTCCTGCCCTCTGGTCTCCCCACACAGGACGGTTCTCCCCACGCAGGGGGGTGGCCAGGAGGCCTCC